CCGCTGTGCAGAAATCCGTCTGTGCTCTCTATCTTTCGTTTTAGGCACATTCAAGCCTATTGTGACTATAACAACCCACACACAACAACAGCATGGGACAGCGCTCAGGCGCAGCCAGTGATGGCACGACCCAGCCGATGCCTGGCATGGGAGGAAACAGGGCCGCACCAAGCCCGCGGGAGCCCCGCGAAGCCCGTCGGCACGTGGAGTTCGCGGCGACAAGTGGCGAACAAGCCATTATGGCACCAATGCCACTCAAGCCGCAACGCCCGCCCTGCTTTGACCCGAGTCAGCGTGGAGGTCCGACAGTTCAATCGTGGGTCTTCACGATGAACGTCTTCTTCGACGCAAATTACGTCGAGTCGGACGCAGCGAAGATTCGGTATGCCGTTTCGCTGCTAAGGGGCCCCGCCATGGACTGGTGGCGAGTCATCGTGACGTCGCCACGCGCCTACGAGCCACCGTCGCAAGAGGAAGGGCCCACGGGTCCAGCTGTCACCTGGAGTTCGTTCTGCGAAACAGCCCGATACAGCACGTGGGATGCGTGGTGCGCAGGGCTTCGGGCGCGCTTCGAGCCGATCGCGGCTTCTATTTCGGCGCGTCAGAGATTGCGCACTTGGCGGCAGCTCGGATCGGTTCAAGATTACACGAGCGGTTTTCTCGCACTTTGCGAGCAAGTCGGCTATATGCACGAAGCGGAGCGGGTGGACCGTTACGTCGGAGGGCTAAAACCAGACATCTCGCACGAAATCATGCTACGCGGGCTCTCGAATTTCAGCGAGATTCTCGCGCTCGCCGAGAAAATCGACTTCCTACGTCGACCGAGACCGGGGTTCTACCACGGACATCGTCCTCGGGGACCGATCGAGCACGCCACTGTGAACCCCGTTGCGACAAATGCAGCTGCCACGCCATTTAAGGGGCGCTGCTTTGCTTGCAACAGGCCGGGCCATCGCAAGAGCGAATGCCCAGAGGAGCTAAGGCGCCGCGGAGCAGAGCAGGGGAGGGAGTCTCAGAGGCAGGGAAACGCCAGCAGTCAGTAGAAGTTGGGCCAACTACTGACGAGACTGCCTGCTCGCCCAACCACACCGACCCTCACCGAGTCACAGTACCGATTCACGCCATCGATCGGGCTCGGATGAATAAGGAGGGTACAGCGACGGATTGCCCAGTACTGATCCACGGGAAAATACAGGGAGCAGCAGTGAAGATTTTTATTGACGGAGGAGCGAGCCACAGCTTAGTTAATACCGCAACCGCACGAAAACTGCAACTGACACTTAGCCGTTGCTTACCGGAGATAGACGCACGCTTAGTCGACGGCACGCCGCTGGCCATACGGGAAAAGGTGGAGAGAGTCAAAGTCCGCTGCGGGGGAAATTTTGGGTTTACACAGGAAATGCTCGCGACAACACTGGATGGGCACGACATTTTACTGGGGCGCGATTGGCTGCGACGGTATAACCCACGAATTGACTGGACGACGGGTAGCTGCACCGTGCGAAGTGGTGGTAACTGGGTCCAACTACCTCGCTGGCAGTCGCCCGAGTCTTCAACGGTGCACGTCAACGCCATCACAATGAAACGGGCTGTCGCTGCTGGAGCTGACGTGTACGCAGTAGATATCGCAGTAGTAGAGGAAGCAGAGCAGCCGAGCGATTTCAAGAAACTGCTGGAAGCTGTACCGCCCGAATTACAGGAACTGTTGAAACAGTACCCCGGGATTTTTCCCGACGACTTACCGGAAGGGTTGCCACCTCAGCGAGCACATGACCACCGAATCGAATTAGAACCAGGGGCACAGCCAACCGTACAGCGCCAGTTCAGACTGACACAGCCCGAGCTCGACGAACTAAGGAAGCAGTTAGATTACCTGTTAGAGAAAAAGTTCATCCGGCCAAGCTCGTCACCATTCGCCGCACCGATACTGTTCACGCCGAAAAAAGACGGGGGCTTTCGCATGTGTATCGACTACAGAGCACTGAACAGGGTAACAGTCAAGTCGCGATACCCCATTCCCCGCGCCGACGAACTGATCGACCAACTGCGAACAGCACGAGTGTTTTCGAAAATAGACTTACGGGGGGGTTACCATCAGATTCGGGTCGAACCATCGGACTGCGCCAAGACAGCATTTAGGACTAGGTACGGGTCGTTCGAATACACTGTGATGCCCTTCGGGCTAACCAACGCACCGGCGACTTTTCAGATGACCATGAACGAGGCATTTAGGCCGCTCTTAGATAAATGCGTCATAGTTTACCTCGATGACATCCTAGTTTACAGTCGGGACAAGCAGCAGCACTTAGCGGATCTGGAAGCGGTTTTTAAGGTTTTAGACGAACATCGCCTACTGACCAAGGGTTCCAAGTGCGAGTTCTTTCAGGATAGGTTAGAATTTCTGGGGCACGTTATTTCGAAGGCTGGAGTTGAAATCGACCCAAAGAAGCTGGATACGGTAAAAGCGTGGCGTCCCCCGACAAACATCACGGAGCTGCAGAGTTTTTTAGGGTTCGTTAATTATGTGCGTCGGTTCGTCCCCGACATGGCACAGTTGACTGCCCCGCTGACTGATTTACTGCGAAAAGGGGTCGTTTTTACGTGGGGGGAGAAAGAGCATGCTGCCTTCTCTGCCCTAAAAAATGTTCTCTGTTCACCGCCCGTCCTGCGCATCGCCGACCCACACCGCCCCTTCAAGGTTGTTACAGACGCGAGCGACATCGCCATTGGAGCCGTACTGCTACAGGACTTCGGCAACGGCCTACAGCCCATCGCATACGAGTCACGAAAACTGCATCCGCCCGAGCGAAATTACCCGATACACGACCGCGAAATGCTCGCGATCGTGCATGCGTTCAAAGTGTGGCGCTGCTACTTGACCGGCGCAGACGTGACAGTACGGACAGACCACCGATCACTACAGTACCTCCGCGCACAGCCCCACCTCAACCCACGACAGATTCGTTGGCTCGATTTCCTCGAGTCAAACTTCCACTACACAGTCACCTATAAAAAAGGAGCCTCGAACATCGCCGACGCACTGACCCGCCCCACTGCCCAAATCCACGCGATACTACTCGCCCAGACCAGCCCGCTACTGACAGGACTATTTACCCACGGATATCAAAGAGACCCATTCTTCACAGGAGGAAATTCGCAGCAGTTCGCAGCAGCCAAGGGAGTCTATTACGTAAAAGCCGGGACCAACCGCATCTGGGTACCAGGGTACACACTACTACGGGAATTACTATTACAGGAGGCACACGACGGGGTTACCTCGGGACATTTCGGGGTAGAAAAAACACGGCAGCAGCTGCAGCGGTATTATTACTGGCCCGAAATGTTGACCGACGTGCAGCGACACGTGGCATCGTGTCCCACTTGCCAGGTCATGAAGTCATCACGGAAGCGGCCGGCGGGACAGTTGCAGCCGATCCCACCCCCAGAGCGTGCTTGGCAGCAGGTGACGATGGACTTCGTCACGGGGTTACCGGCCGGGACGAGTGGGAATGACGCGATCCTGGTCGTCGTCGATCGACTGACGAAAATGGCACATTTCGCAGCCTGCAAAAAATCAATCACAGCCGAAGAAACAGCCCGCCTCTTCATCTCCACCGTCGTTCGACTGCACGGGATACCAGCATCAATCATCAGCGACAGAGACACGAAATTCACCAGCAACTTCTGGCGGAACCTGTGGCAGCAGTTCGGCACGCGACTACAGTTTAGTTCATCGTACCACCCCGAAACAGACGGACAGACAGAACGGACAAACCAGACCATGGAACAGCTCATCCGGGCCACGTGCGACGACCCAAACACGTGGGAACAGCAACTGCCGCTCATCGAATTCGCATATAACAACGCCCCATCCGCCACGACCCAACAGTCACCATTTTACCTGAACTACGGACAAGACCCAACAGTACCCATGACTCCGAACCCCGACAACCCGGTTCCACGCGCGCAACAGTTCGCCGAAATTTTGCAAGCAGCACGGACCAGGGCAGCAGACGCAATTAAAAAAGCTAACATCATCGCTAAACGTAACGCCGACCACCACCGCAGACCTGTCACTTACCAGCCCGACGACTTAGTTTTGCTCGACACCCAGAATCTCCGACTGCCCATTACCCCAAAACTCCGCCCCCGATACTGTGGGCCATTTCGCATAAGCCACATGCTCACACCCGTCACCGCCCACCTCCTCCTCCCTGCTGTCTGGTACGTCAGCCCCTCGTTCCACGTCAGCCTGCTCCGCCCTTACGTCCCGTCCACGAGCCAACTGCCACGCAATCGCCCAGCCAGCATGACACGACCGCCAACCGAACCAATCATCACCCCCGAAAAAATCCTAAGCCACCGAGTCCGTGACCCTCGAGGAGCCCGAAGGATCGAATTCCTGATTCGCTGGAAAGACCGTACACCCACCGAAGATAATTGGGTTCCCCTGGATAGAATCGAAAACCACCCCGTCCTCACCGAGTATCTGCGCAGCCGAAACTTCAGGGATGTACACGCACTTTCGTAAGGAGGACCTCCTTAGGGGGGGGGGTAGTGTAAGGAAAATCTCTTTTTCCTTACTTCGCATCCCTGCTCAACGCGTACATCACTGTAGCACCACAGTCAGCACCGTTACCACTCGCAATCCTCGCATCGACAATCCGCCCGCCACTTTCGCACGTCGCACCCCGACCTCACGGCTCGGCGGGTAACCCGCGCTCCGGGCCTCCGCTTCGACACTTTCCCCAACCTCAGTTCCAGGCCCGTCGCGCGACAACCACAGTCCATTACCGTTACCACTGTAGTTTCGCTATATATTCTTCGCTCATGCCTTCGCTCATTGTACTCTTGCTTCGATAGTGCAATTCTCGTTCGTTCACTCAATTGCACCCGTAACAGTCTTCTAGACGTGCAATACATCCTGCCGGCCGATTTACCTTGACAATCCATTTCCTTCCATCCATCACTTTCGTTTTCTCTCCCTACCCACGCGTCAGGACATGCTAGGTGTTGATGATTCACAGCGAGTGGGCTTCCAACCAGAGGAGCACAGGCGAGTGCCTTCACATTCACTCTAGGTAGTGCTTCCTCTGTGGTACTTACTGGTGCATGCTAGCGCCTGCTCCATGCAGCCACGCTCTCTCACTGCACTCGCAACGAGCAGCTTCCATCCAACCAGAGGAGCACAGACGAGTGCTTTTTGAGACTTAAAAGCCACTTTACAGCACTCGCTCTAGGTAGTGCGTCCTTTGTGGTGCTTCCGTCCTGGTGCATGTTAGCGTCTGTTTTGAGTCGACTCAAAATAGAGGAGCACAGGCGAGTGCCTTCACTCTAGGTTGCTCGTCCTCTGTGGTACTCCCTTCCTGGTGCATGCTAGTGCCCAATCCATGCTGTCACTGTCCCCAGAGGAGCACAGGCGAGTGCATGCACATTCACTCTAGATAGTGCGTCCTCTGTGGTACTTCCTTCCTGGTGCATGTTAGCTGAGTCGTGCCCTCAGAAACTGCCTATTCTCCCACTCCTTGCATACACTATCAGACTGGATAGCTAAACTCACTCTCTTCGACCTCCCTCTGCTTTCTCTCCCCATGGCACCACCACCACCAGGCTGAGCGACCTGCAGCAGCGGCTGCACAAATAGGTGTATTGCAGGCGAATGGTGAAGCAGCAAGCCATGGTCTCCTTGCCTTTCCCTTTCATCTCTCTCCTGGCACCACCACCATCAGGCTGAGCGACCTGCAGCAGCGGCTGCGCAAGAAGGTGTATCGGCGGCGAATGGTGAAGCGAATCATGTTCTCCGTGCTGCCTCACCTCCACATCGCCCTCTCCTCCTACGCTCTCATCCGCCCTGCCAAGATCCGTGCGTCATCCCTTCCTGATGCCGTATTGTGCTGCCCGTCTCATGTTCCGCGTCTCTCTGAACGACCATTTTCTTCAGCATATCCCTTTTTACTTCCCTGCTTAGTAAGCAATCCATCCTCCCAGCCTCTTCTCGCTCCTGCCTCACCTCCACATCGCCCTTTCCTCCTATGCGCTCATCCGTCCTGCTAAGATCCGTGCGTTACCTTGCATCAACCCCTGTTAACGTCCCTGCCAGCCTCCCTGTTAGCGATCCACCCTCCCAGCCTGTTCGCCGTGGTGCCCCACCTCCACATCGCCCTTTCCTCCTATGCGCTCATCCGCAATGCCAAGATCCGTGCGACATCTTCTTTATGCGTCATGCCTTGCCTCGCTCTGAACCCTGGTGCACTCCCCTGTTCAATTAGCAATCAATCTTCCCAGCCTCTTCTCACTGCTACCCCACCTCCACAACTCCCTCTCCTCCTAGGATTTCATCCGCCCCGCCAAGATCCGAGCATTGCCTAGCATCAACCCCTTGCCTTGCCTTAGCTTCCTTACCGCCCTTCGCTCGGCGGCCCACTCAACTCATCTTCCAGCTCTGAAAGGGCCGTGTTGGGCCTTTAGGACCAACTGCCACGGAACCTTGGTTCCCTTGTCCCTCGCAGTGTGTTCAGGGGAGCAGGTGTACTGAGTGTGTTCAGGGGAGCAGGTGTACTGAGTGTGTTCAGGGGAGCAGGTGTACTGAGTGTGTTCAGGGGAGCAGGTGTACTGAGTGTGTTTGTAGGCAACAACAATCAGGCTCTGAGACGTCTCGAAATTCATTGTTTTGCCCCTTGCTGCTGCTGTGTGTGCAGAGAAGCAAGTGTATGTGAGGGCGGTGGACAATCGCACTGTGAAGGTGGGTGAGAGGAGGAGGGAAGAGTAGGGGGCAGAGGAGAGGTGCATGGGGGGAAGGGATGGGAAGGGAGCAGAGGCGAGGTATGAAGGGGGAGGGGGAGGGAAGGGTGGAGTGGTGAAGTGCACTGGGGCGGGGGCAGAATTAAAATAGATCCGAGATTATTGTGGGTTGAGGTGAAATGTGCAAGGGAATCATTGTATCACTTACTAGTGCGTGACTCCCTATGCATGAGCTTGCATGCATCCATTTGCGTGCATGGTATCGGCATGCATGGGTCTGCATGCATCCATTTGCGTGCATGGTATCGGCATGCATGGGTCTGCTTGCATCCATGCCACTGTGCGGGCAGGCACGCATGCTTGCAGGTGGAGACAGCCCTGGTGTGTCAGGACACGGGGGCAGTTCTCCACGGCCCATTCTTGAGGCGCCTCAGATATACCTGCCTCACAGTGTGTGCACACATGTGCACCCTTTGCTATGCACGCACACACACACACACACACACACATACACACACACACACATACACACACACACACATACACACACACACACACATACACACACACACATACACACACACATACACACACACATACCCACACACACACACATGCAGGTGGAGACAGCCCTGGTGTGTCAGGACACGGGGGCAGTTCTCCACGGCCCGCTGCCGCGTTACCAGCCCATTCCAGGCGGGTAGGTTCGGGAAGGTAGCTTCGGATATGCATCGCCCAGATGTTCAAACATCCTCTCTACATCTGCCTTTGTCATCATCCAACATTTCTTCCACAGCCTTGCACCCTCCTTGCACCCTCCTTGCACCCTCCTTGCACCCTCCTTTGCACCCTCCTTGCACCCTCCTAGCACCATTCTACTCCAGTGTCTGCATGTCTGTGTTCGACCCACTCCTTCCCTTCCTGCCAGGTTGCACATTGTGACGGCGAATGAAGAGGCGGACCAGGTGAAGGCGGTGTGTCCGCACGACCTGCTGCTGCGCGTCTCTATGTGACTGATTCCCTCCCTTGCGCCATCTCTGTATGCTTCTGTGTGATTAAACCGCTCGTTTGCAGCACGCGCATCATCATGGCAAAGGCGGAGGTGGACCAGGTGAAGGCGGTGTCCCCCCACGACCTGCTGTTGCTGGGCTTTAAGCCGCTCCACTGCCTCAAAGACTACCACAACCTGCAGCCGCCCACCTTCCTCTTCCCAGACGAGGAGGTGAGTTGAGCAACCTGGCTTTTGAGTCGACTCAAAAGTCATGAACCCGTCGAACCTGGCAGAGATTCGAGGCGTCTCAATCCACAACAACAACCTGTTACTGCAGGGCTTCAATCAAGCCCCACTAGTGTCTCAAGCACCTCTACATCAACCTTCAGCCGTGCACCTTCCTCTTCCCACGTTGGCTATGAGTCGACTCAAAAGTCAACCTGTTACTGCAGGGTTTCAATCAAGCCCCTCTAGTGTCTCAAGCACCTCTACATCACAACCTTCAGCCGTGCACCTTCCTCTTCCCACGTTGGCTATGAGTCGACTCAAAAGTCAACCTGTTACTGCAGGGTTTCAATCAAGCCCCTCTAGTGTCTCAAGCACCATCACAACCTTCAGCCGTGCACCTTCCTCTTCCCACGCGAAGATGTGGGCATGGCAACCGAGGAGTTGCTATTGAGAGTCCTTTAGGAAGTCTTAATTGCCCCTCTAGGACCAGCATAACCTGCACCCAAATGCATTCTTTCCAGATGAGGATATTCCCATGCCGTTTTGTTTCATGTGCATCTGATGTTGTGTTTTGCACATGCGTATGGGTGTGCGTGTGCGTGTGTGTGTGTGTGTGTGTGTGTGTGTGTGTGTGTGTGTGTGTGTGTGTGCACGTGCTGTGCATTGTGTGTGTGCATGTGTGTGTGCATGCGTGTGTACATGCCTGTGTGCATGCCTGTGTGCATGCGTGTGTGCATGCGTGTGTGCATGCGTGTGTGCGTGCGTGTGTGCGTGCGTGTCTGCATGAGTGTGTGTCCATCTCGCCAGACCCTCTCTGGAAGCACGGCAGCATTCATTGCCCTGCACAACGCAATGCTGGACGCAAACAGGTGATTGGGAAGCGGGGCGACGAGCACATTCCAGGCACCTTGCTTTGCTTCTCCCAGTCCTTCCTTGCCTCGCTTGCCTCTCTTTCCAGACACCTGACTGGTTCCCCCACGTCCATGCCATCGCACTCTCTCATTTCCTGCTTTCAGTCCTCACTGGTTTCGTGCTCCCCATCCTCCTCCTCCTACCCCTCCTCCTCCTCCTACCCCTCCTCCTCCTACCCCTCCTCCTCCTCCTACCCCTCCTCCTCTCCTACCAGCTTTGCACTGGCATGTTGGGCCAAGATCGGCTTGCCACATCTTGTCGCCATCGTTCCCCAGGTGAGCTTAATCCCTTTCTCCTTGATTCCATCCCCTTCTCCCTGATTCCATCCCTTCTCCCTGATTCCATCCCCTTTTCCCTGATTCCATCTCTTCTCCCTGATTCCATCCCCTTCTCCCTCATTCCATCCCCTTTTCCCTCATTCCATCCCCTTCTCCCTCATTCCATCCCCTTCTCCCTCATTCCATCCCCTTCTCCCTCATTCCATCCCCTTGAGTTGCTCTCTAGCTGGTGGATTGGTTGAAAGTTCATGATGCAGTACTTGCGCACTTGTTCTCTTACCTTCGGGTGGTGTCTCACCCATCCTATCCGCGTGTTATCCCTCCCGTCTTTGACCGGTGCAGCAAGAGAAGGTGGACGAGAGTGGCACGGAGGTGCAGCCGGCAGGGTGGCACATGATTCCTCTGCCCTTTTATGACGACATTCGACCAGCCGAGAAGGTGAGATTTGAGAGGCCACATGAAATCCAACCAGGGGAGAGGGGCAGAGCAGGTGAGAGGGAACGTTTGTTTCCTGTGCTATTTGATTCGAAGCAGGTGGAGCCAGCAGGGTGGCACATGATCCCCTACCATTCATATGATGACATTCGACCAGCCGAAAAGGTGAGAGTAGTGGAGCAGGTGGGAGGGGCAGAGAAGGTGAGGGTTTTTTGTGCTATCCGAACCAGGGGAGAGGGAATGTTTGTGTTTTGTGCTATCCGAAGCAGGTGCAGCCAGGGAGGCACATAAACCCTCTTGCAGACATCTCTATTTGAGTCAACTCAAAAGTCATGAACCTTCTTGCAGACATCTCCATGCCCCCATCTCCATGCCCCCATCTCCATGCCCATCTCCATGCCCATCTCCCCACTCCTCCCTCCACCACTCCGTCGTGCCTCACCACACCATCCCCCATTTCCCCCATTACGGCAACGCTTTCCCTCCACTGCACCCACAGTATGCCCGTTGGGTGCCAGACCAGGGTGCAAAGGGCGCTGGGGGGGACGGGGAGCAGGAGGGCAGTGGAGGGGAGGTGGTATCTGCACCGAGGGCGGATGCGGAGCAGGTGGCAACTGCCACAACGCTCATGCGCTACATGCACCTCAAGGACTTCAGCCCACTCAACATCCTCAACCCTGGTGGGTCTGCGTATTTGCATGCATGCAAGGGTGGGCAGAGCAGCGCTCATGCGCTACACGCACCTCAAGGGCTTCACGCCTCTTGACATCCTCAACCCTGGTGCGTCCGCTTGTTCCCATGCATGCATGCATGGGCGGGCAGAGCAGAGCAGCCCTCATGCGCCACACGCACCTCAAGGACTTCACGGCTCTTAACATTCTCAACCCTGGTGGGTTCCCCTCACACCCGTTCCCTCTCGTATCCCCTCCCCTCACATCCCGGGTTTGCTGTGCTCGTATGTGGGTCTGCAAGCATGGGCGGGCAGAGCAGAGCAGAGCAGCCCTCATGCGTTACATGCACCTCAAGGACTTCGCCCCGCCCAACATTCTCATCTCAGGGGGACCTCCTCTACCCTTCCTCCTTCCCAGTCATCCAGACGCACTACTCCATGCTGGAGGCCATAGCCGTAGATCTGCCAGAGGTGGAGCCCATGGTTGATACCACCCTACCAGACAACACCATCTTCCAGGCCCCTCCCCTCCTGCGTTGCCCTCCCTTCCCCATCCCACACCCCTGCAGTCATCCAGACGCACTACTCCATGCTGGAGGCCATAGCGCTGGACCTACCCGAGGTGCAGCCTGTGGTGGACACGACCTTGCCGGATTACAACATCTTCCTGCCCCCACTCTCCGACACCAACCAGCCTCCAAAAAAAGGGTGTGTTGTATTGCAATCTCGCGTCCCATGTGTGCTTACATGTGAGTGATTCCAGGATTGAGGTGTGTCGTGGGTACTAGAGACAAGGGAAGATGAGGCTGACTGATTTTTCCTGCGGTTTGATGTTTCAATGGTTCATGTTTGCTCGTTTTCTTGCTTTTGTGTCTGTCATTATCTTTACGTACAGGAAAGCTGTTCGTGCAACTGCAGCTTTAAGGCATTTCAAGGACGCAGTATACGGCCCGAGGCATGATGAGGAGGAGGCGCAAAGAACAGCTGCAGCTCGAGCCAAGGCAGATGCTGCTGAGAAGAAACGCAAGGCCGCTACCGCCAAGGCCGGTGTTGTGGATTGGCGGGGTCTCGCTGAGAAAGGGAAGGTGAGTTAACAAGCTGCAAGTCTGGGGATGAGTGAGTTTGTTTTACTGATGGGTAGATGTATGACAGGTGGGTGGTTGGGGGAAAGATGAGTATTGATGTGGTTTGTTGTTATCCTGTATGCAGCTGGACACCTTGACAAACGAGGACCTGAAGGGATATCTCAGAATGTATAGCCTACCCCTCACTGGCCGGAAGGCAGAACTAGTGCAACGCATCAAAGAACATCTGGACCAGTAGTGATTTATATTTCTTTCGCATTACACAATTTGCAACGCATTGTTTCTTATCGGGTACAAGCTGAAAGTCGATTCAGTGAATCAGTGATCAAGGGTTCCCATCCCAAGGGTGCGGATTAGTTGGCATCCAATCGGAGCATTTTGTCTGCCCCCACGCAGGAGCCCGTTGGGCCACATATCGTCCAACAGCAAGTCTCGTTCCAACAACCTCAAGGACCCACTGCCCCTCGTGCAGTTTTGATTGGTGCATTCTGTGCTGTGACGAAACCGAGGTCTGATGCGACGGTGTCGGGTCCAGAATTGCGACGACGAATGCGACGTGACCCGCTGGCCCATTTTGGCGGTAGTGCGTGCACCAACCAATGCCCTGCCCAGGGCCAGCGATTCGGCGACCCTGGTTGTCGAAATACTTCGCTAATCAGTTACCTGTTCGCAATTATCAGGCTTGTGGCTGGCGACTTAAAAAATTACCCCTGAACTGGAGCTCTGCGACGTCGCGACTCGCGACTGGTTGGCCAATGCGGAAAGACAGTTGTGCGCCCCTTGCCAGCATATCCGCGACTAGCGTGTGATTTCGTCTGACTCCCCTGCTGTACAGCCAGACCGAAACCCGCCCTTGCGCTCAACACAGAGTGGTGAAAAGCGTTGCACCTCGGTTCTGGATGTATCTCATAGTTTGGAGATCTCTAGGGTTGGGAGAAGTTAGCAGCCTATCCTCCGAATCGGCCAATTTTTCTGGGTGTCGCTTATTGGCACGAGTTGCTTACCGACGTCGCGTGAAGCGGCCATTCTAGTTATCGTGATAGGATTATACCGTAGTTGGCGATCTTAGTCGGAAGCGCAGAATGGCTGGTTTTAAAATGACGTACGCGTAATGCACGTAGCTCGATGCATCTCCGCTTTATGACCTATTTTTTAGGTCGATTATGCACGCGATATGACTAGGGACCTATTTAGCCATTACTATCGTCTAGGCAACCGTGTTCTTTAGGCAGAGGATCATTCCAGGCATATTGTACGCAGGCAGCTTTGGGAGAGTACCAAATATCGAGCACGAAGTGAAACGAGCTGGAAGGGGAGCGCGCCCTAAGGGGAACGCGCAACCGCGCCTTCATGGAGTCTCCGCCGTCCCCGCCGTCCCCATCCGACGCCCTTCTTCTCCGCCAGGGCGGTAAGCCTCTTCCGCCCGCCTCTCAATGCTTCCCCTGGCGCCCCCACCATTTCTCCGCGCGCCTCACTCCGCACGGTGCTTCCTCTCCTGGCGGAAGTTCCGCCGTCCCCCACGCGCGCGGAAACACACCTACGTGCTATGGCACGGCTGGCAGTCCTCTCCCCTTCGCACGAGTCCTCGAACTCATGGCCAGGCGCCGACGTGCGCGCAGCGGCAGCGTCGGCGGCGGAGGAGGATTAGGAGGAGTTGGTGGCGGCCGTCACGGTAGCCGGCCAGGCGGTGGGAGGACGCCGGTCAACAGTCAGCGGCGCCACGTGTCCGTCACAGGTTGGAAGCAGAATTCTTTTGACGGGGAGGAACTGGGTGAAAGCAGCAACGGTAAAGATGGCAGTAGCAGAGACAAGCTCCGCACGCGTAGCGCCAGGGAATGTGGCACGGGCAGCGGCAGGGATAGCGGCAGAGGTAGTGGCAGGGGTAGCGGCAGGAGTAGTAGCAGCAGTAGTTCCGGTAGCGAGAGCGCGTCGCCTCGTCACAGGACGTCGGGCGTTATAAAGGAGCCAGCAGGGAACACTATAACGGACACGAGCGCAGTTAGAGCGGACTTGAGTAAAAGGTTGGAGGCGTGCCGAACGCAGCAGGCGAGTCAAGGCAGCACGGATACGCGGGCTTTGGTTAGTGGCGCTGGGAAAGGGCGCGAGGAGGCGGGAGGCGCGGATAACCCGGAAGCGCAAGCCCGCGCAGTACAGGCGGAGGGGATGAGCGGAAAACCGGAGGATTTAGCGCAGCGGGCGCGGCTTGCGGAGGCGCAGGTGGACATGGCGGAGTTACAGGCGCAGGTGGTATGCGCGGAGCTGCAGTGGATACGGAGCGCCGTGGAGAGGCAAGAGGCGGGAGTAGCCGCCGTGCTGGCGGAACTGGCGGGGCTGCGCCAGCGCGTGCACCGCGCGCGAAGGTGCGCGGAGGGGGGAGATGGCGGGGACGGGGCGCAGGAGTCTGGGGAAGGGAAGATGCGCGAGGTGCAGCAGGTTGAAGCTGCTGTAGCGTCTGCGGAGGCGCGGCTATGGCGGGTGGAGGCGGCTGCTGCTGATGCGCGCGCCTCACTCATTGCCCTGGGCGGCGAAGCGGGGGGATTGGGGGGATTGGCGGGAATTGGGGCCGGGGAAGGCGGCAATGTAGGTGGATTGTGTGGTGAGTGCTGGTGCGAGAGTGGGCTGGGTAACCGGCCAGTGGAAGGCGGGATTGGGGTTGGATGTGGTGGGGAGGTGTGTGGAGGGATGAGAGGGTGTGCGGGGCTTGAGGGGTACGGTGTGGGGGAGGTGGGTTTGAGCGCAGCAGAATTTGCTCTGGAGCTACAGAGACGGTTAGAGGAAGTGCAGAAAGAACTGGTAGCTAAGGGGCAGGGGCACAGAGTGGTGCAGGAGAAGGAGGGGCGTGGAGTGGTGGAGGGGCCAGCTGGGGGAGTCGGGGGAGCTGGGGTTTCGCCCTCAGTGGAAGGAAAAGGGGAGCAGCCAATGGTGGAGGGAACAGAGCGGGTGAAAGGGGCCGGGCAGGCGAGTGGTGGGGTTGAAACAGATGGATTTTCTGTTTGTGAAAAGGCTTGTGAGAAAGGGACAAAAGAGAGTAATTGTGAATTGTTGGTTGGGAAACAGTCAAGGTTGGAAGTCACTGGGCGGGACGGAGAGGTGATGAAGCCAGAGGGAGAGGCATTATCAGGTGCCGGTGAATTGAGGTTTTGGGATAGAATAAGCGGGGAGAGCAAGCTGCTGTCGGGTGGGGGAGGGAATGGAGGTGTTCAGGGAGCTGCTGCTGATTTCGGCGGTGGGAAGGATATCCACGTGAACATTGGCCTCACAAGCTCAGCACCAATATTTGCATCACAAGCACGAGTCAACTCAACGCAAATGCACCAGAACCAGTTGTTTGGGAGTAAAGCACGCCAGTGGCAGCCGGTGTCAAGAACAGAGGACCAAGAAGAGGCCAAGATTCTTCGGGATGCAATGGAGTATCTTAAAAAGGAAGTAGAACGGGCACAGAAAGCAGCACCACCATTGGGTGCAATATGAGCTGGATTGGATATCAGGAAATTCTTATTGTGCTGTCTAGTGTAAATATGTTCTGTTTTGTGTTATAGCCCACTCCACCCTATTTCGAGTCAACACACCGTGCTTGTTTTGAAGCTTGACCTAAATTCGCGCCGGGATCGCCGGGGTGATTGCCACTCCACCCCCCCGAAGGTCGGTCCGACTGTTCACCGATGAACCTTTAGCACGCAGCAGGCACGCGCCCTCGACCGACCTGGCGAAAAAGGACAACCGTGCAGCCGACACACAAGGGCAAAAGGTAGACACAGGCCCACGTGGGAGATTCGCGTCGCGTCTGGAGCTGATTATACACGTCATTGTTGAACTTGTAGTGGTGTATGATCTGCGTTATTCCTGCCGCAATTTCCGTTCGGTGCTCTCGACCAGTGCAGGCCTGGCAAGCGACCGATAATTGGCGACGAAATCAGGGTTGAGACTGGAGCAACCTGCTAGTCGCAGAATCGCAGGCATCGTTGCCACCTGTCGTTCGGATAATCGCAGAGCGGAGAACGCAGATAGTGCTCAAATTGCAGCAACACACCAGCAGCATCAGCACCAGCACACCAGCGGCACTGGCGGCTGCGCGGATTCATGATCTGGGATGAACCAAAAAACAGACTTAGACCAGACCAGAGAGCTCTTCACCACACCGTCTTCCTCAATGAGCAACAAGTATCTTATCAGCTTAGCTGAAAAAGAACCCACTCACCCCTCACTTGAATTTTGTGCCTCATCCATTGTTGATTTGAATATCACGTCCTCATTCTAGACGCTTGACGATCCTTCCTTGAAGATCCTTCCCCAGCTGGCTTCATCAAACCAAACACTAGCATCACGCGCTCTCGTCTACACACAGGACATCGATTTCCTGAGTTTTTTCCTTCTCCAAAAATTCGTCACGCCATGTTGCTAGTATATTCCTCCCTGGTCAGGCACAGTCCGCTTAGACTGTCGACACATGGCGAGACGCTCCCTCGCTTGCTGCCAAGGCAGAGGAGCTCCGGCGTCGTACTTCGTAGACGAGGATCAGTAGTCAGGGCTTCCCTTGCAGTGCAACCAGAGAGACGGAAAAGAGCTTCAGACTGTTACGCTATCTTGGGTTTGACTGCACAAGCAGGAGCAGATGAAATTCGGCAAGCTTACAGACGACTCGCACGCATTGTACGAAATCCACACGCTAACCACAGCTTCGAATTTGTTCTGCTTTTGGGCCCAATCCCTTGACTCCTCGCTTGCGCTCTGTGCAGTATCATCCTGACACTAACTCATCAGAGGACACAGTACCGAAGTTTCTAGAAGTTCACGAAGCATACAAGGTCAGTCCCCATGGCATTCAACGACGAGTGTGTGTGTATATTCGCTCCTCTCGTCCTCCCTGCCTCCTCGCTCTTGCAATCAGCTCTTGGAATGGTCCTGAATGATAGTACTTGCCATTGCAGATTGCCTTGCGGCGTCAAGAGAGAGCCCAGGCAAAGGCTCTTCTTGAATCTCAGTCTCCACCAAGATCCTCCAGGCCACTCAAAACCGCTGGGAAACCACGCAGACGAGAAAACTGGGATGATATCTGGGACGACATTCTGGGGTCCACCACACAAAGGAAGACTCCAAAACGACAATAAGGGAGTTCAGAAGCGCACTGAGTTCCACATGCCAAAAAGAGTCTCAGCGCTTGTACAGGTTGAACTGGTCACAAGGAAGTGACGCAGTTCATGCAACGTATACGCGTGTTGGAAGGCAAGATCAATTATTGCATTATGTATTTTAGGCGTTAGTCGTTAGCTGGTGATGATGTATGCCATACTCTAAGACAATTTGAGCATGAGTTTTTATGGCAGTTCATCCTGCGGCAATGGTCACACATCATCTCGAAATCTGGTGATCTTGTTTGCCTGCCAGTGCATCTGGTGGTGACAGCAAGGGGAAAGGGGAGGCGTGTCACCTCGGGGCTGGAAGGCCCAAATCCGAACATGCATAACGAATTCACTGTACGAACAGTCTCCAACACAAAATTTGAACACCCTGGTGAATGTAACAGCTCTTCACCAGAGGTGACCCCTCACTTTTTGAACACGCAGCCTGTTCCAACATGCTACGTCGTCTACAACAGGGCGACATTGCTTAGCTTCGCAAGAAAAACTTCCAGTCGCCTGCCATTCCAGTTTGACCCATTTTTCGCCCATCCAGTCACAATGACTCGTACTCTTCTACTCCAGTAGCCTACCCATTTTCCCCCGGCCAACTTCATACATACTCAGATTAGTCCCGAGCGGGTTCTCATGTGTAATCTTTTGGACTTTCTCAACTTTGATTGGTCGCCTCTGTTTAGTCACATTGTTTACGCTGGTCGAAATATTTAGGAAGTGACAAAAACAGAACTATCTAGTTTACCCTCCCGACCTGGATTTGTTAAATTAAAGTACGTAAATTCACGACAGGGCAGAAAAACTAAACCCCTATAGAATCTGGACGAATTTTCGGGAGGGATCAACCCTAAACACGAGAAATGGCATTGTTTTTAGGGTAGATGCCTCCCGAGTCGCATCCCATTCCGATTGGGTTTTATTTTTTGGGTCAAGAGGGTGCAATATATTTCTCCTGAAGTGGGCGGCTTCCCGTAGTTAGGGTTGATCTGTCTCGAAATTCATCTAGGTTCGCTACAAGTTTTTTTTTTCAGGTGCTGCATTTTCTGTAGTGACTGTATTCAGAAAACAACCAGAAATACTCACTACTATATCGCGAAACTGTGTTTCTGTTGGTGATTACACCTGAGAACCCGCTCGGGAATACTTTGAGTATCTATGATATTGGCCGAATTTTTCCCAGCTACACTGCCCTTTCCGATGCACTGCGGCAGTTTCCAGTGAGAAGTGATTTCGCTAGCGACTATGCGAGGTGTTGTCCAATCAGAGGCGTCGTCCGTGCTGGGAGGGGGGCGCGTATCATTCTGTGTTCGAACAGCACATTTGGCAGCATGCCCGATGTGACAGGGCTGTTCGGATTGGCGAAACTTTTGGTTAGCGACGTCATTAGGGTGCCTACGAGGCCTGGCGAAGCATGTAACATTCGCCACGAGAGGACTTTTCGAACCCGGAGGTGACACGCCCTGAATGACCCATCATCCATGTTCCGGTAGAATGTGCAAATTGGTCACTTCAGTAATTTTGTTTGTGAAATACGTTGGAGGATGCTAACAATGTAGCTCATATTGTTCCAGTACTTGGAAAAGGTACATGATGAGAACATTGCTAACCAAGTACCTTAGCTCATATCATAATGTAGGTGGGAAAGGTTGCCGGATTAGGCAAGATGACACGGCCCTTTTATATATACAATAGATATATTTTTTATTACTGTATGGCCATTACTGATTATCATTTTTCAGTACGGTATGAGAGAGCATGGGAATCTGTGAATGTGGATATGGATGAAAGAGCTATATATGGTATCATAGAATATGCAAGTGTAGGCATGTAGTGATGTCAATTTTTACTGCTCTTTTGTGATGGAGTCGCACGTCGCGACGCGAATCAAGTGCTAGACATCCCACTTCCTTCAGACTGAAATTTCTCAATTCCTCCCAGTGCCCTTGGTTCTGACCAGCAACCGAGCGGTAAATCAACCCGCGCGTGCTTGCCCAAACCAGTCTTCAATCCTGCCCGACCCACGTCGGGGCACGTTTTTGCCCAGAGCAGACACGTTTCAGAGTTCAGCCCGTGACTTCCGAAACACATCTACAGTGCCAGCGTCATTCTTGCCGCAATCTGGGGAACAGAAATTTCGGGTCTCTTTCAGTGTGCTGGCAGCTGGAATTGTGGTTTGTTCCCGTGACTGGAGGCGGCTCCGTTCTTCAGTCGACTGCGTGGGCTGGGCAGCTGAAACGAACCGGAAGTCGCTTGGTTGATGTGGCTCAGGGAAGTGCATGGATGTGCGACAGTCCACACGGCACGGAAGTGACACCGCCAGCCAGTCAAACTGGTTGCCAAGAGATGTGCTGAACGGTTGTACGTTTCTTGGAGCGTTTAGGAATGGTAATGAGTGGTGCACCTAAGGACGAGGCCACATGGATAGGGCGAAGGCGAGAGCCAACTGATGAGGACGTCTGAAAGTGAGTCGGCTGATGTGGATGAAGTGGCACTGGTGGTGGCCTTGAAATAGCACCATCATCCATTGAACTCCGATCAATCCTGCTTCTTTCTATTAAAACCAGGGTGCACATTCAACGCGGTTCGGCTTGAGATGTTGGGAAGGGGGTTTGGAGAAAAACAGTGATTGGCTCACGAGGGGCGACAAAAAAATGATTCCGCTAGAGCTTCGGGCATTTCGTAGGTGGCGGGAGGGGGTGAAATGGCGGGAGTGGGTGAAACCGAATGGCGGGAGGGATGAAACAGATTGGCGGGAGGGGGGGGAAACGAAATTGCGGGGGAGGGGGGAAACAAAATTGCGGGGGAGGGGGGAAACGAATTTCGACGGGGAGGGGGAAATGAAATTGCGGGGGCGTGGGGAAACGAAATTGCGGGGGAGGGGGGAAACGAATTTCGACTTGAAGGGTTGGGTTCAAAAACTTTTGAAATTTGAAAAGTTGCCCCAAAGCTGTGAGGCACACAATAAAAACCACAAACCCAGCTGACAAATGTATACTGCAGCTTTAAAGCACACCTCGTAACCAACTCAGTCAAGGGATAACCTTTGATGCACATTCAGCTGAATGTGCACCCCGTTTTTAACTGAATTCTGATCAATCCTTGACATTTTTCAGAATCCTTGAAAATAATTGTGAGCGGACTAGAGTCCTATTCAGCTTATCAACTCACACTCGCATACTAAACTGGTTCTGGGAGACTGGTATTAGCCCTACGCTGGTTACTCAACGACAATCTAATCCATCACTCCGTCTTAGTACCACACTCCAGCGCTAGTTCGGCAGTCTTAAGGCAACGTTACCTTAGCTCCAGAGCTATGGCTCTTTCCGCCTCGCCGCTCCTGTCCTCACCAGCGAAGATGCCATCTCAGTCCAGACTAAACGGACGGAGTCCCTTTAAATCATCCCCTCCAACCGCTCGACGATTGTTCGTAGAGGCTCGGATAACAGTAGCTCCGGAACGACGACGAGCCACGCCGAACTGCTTCACTGTGCTGGGAGTCCCTGCTAGTGCCGGAGCTGACGAGATTAGACAAGCGTACAGACGACTCGCGCGCATTGTAAGCACACTTACTCGAGTTTCTGAATTCTCCCTCGGTTACACTGCTCAATCACCTTTTCCAATAGCGAGTGCATCATAGTGAATGCTGACGCTTTTTTTCGTCAATTGTTTGCCTTGCAGTATCACCCCGATGCCAGTGGCGCTGACGACACGACATCCATGTTTCTGGAAATCCACACGGCTTATAAGGTAAGCGCGGACTGCTGCGTTTCAACAATTCTGCTCTATATTATGTGAATGTCCGAAGGAACAAGAGTTGTGTGAATCTTAAACTGGACGTACAGAGCATACACTAACCTTCTTTCATCTTTCCGTCCTGTTATCTGCAGTCCGCTCTCAAGCATCAAGAGAGACGACAGGCCAAAGCATCCATGGCGTCCACGTCAGAAGCAACCGTCAAGCCGTCCCCGTCCTCTAAAACCCCGCAAAGACCCGCCAGGAGAAGAGACGATTTCGACGACATTTGGGACCTCATGGGTGCGTCGCCTCGTCGGCAGGCCTCTCCGCGGAGACAAACCACGCCCAAACACGTTTAGCTTTTCACTGACAACAACACATGTTTTTACCTTGGTCGGAACGTCACCACGTCCACTGGCTTCAGAGCCTCTGTACAAACGCCATTTTGGGGACGTGGCCTCACTTTAGACGAGTTGCTAGCTAGCCGTAGAGTGCCGTGGTCCGTTCTAGCATACCAGTCCCGCTTGGAAAGGTTTCTTAGGTTACCTCCAAGGCCCTGCTTCCGCTTCCAACGGCTGTTGGGCGAGTTGTAACTTTGCGCAGGGTAAGGATAGGAGTAGGAAAAGGACACTTAGAAAAGAGTTTCTACACCTGGATAGTTCTACCAGGTATAGTTTCAGTGCAGTTACCTAAGCGATGCTCTTGTCTGTAAGCAAAATTAATATTCATTCATGTAACGTGGCCAACAGTTCCAAACGCGCACCCGCAATGCAAACCTACTCCCACATACAGGACAGCGACATGGAGGCTGCGGTTGGGAACTCGCGCCGTACAGCAGCTGGCCGAGTGAGTGCACGAGTCTTGTCAACATGAGCTGCAGTTGGGGGAACATTCCAGCAGCTGGTCAGGTACACCAAACCAGCACATGCTCCGGAAATTAAGCGACCTCGTTATAGAGGGCCCATACCAGGAGCAGGAAGTACAGGTAGACATTACCTTTCCCAGTACGTGTAATTTCAGTGCTGTTACACTTGATTATTATGTTGTGAATAGCCAGCTACACAACCCAACCTCATAACTAACATTTCAACTTCCTGCTGAGGGTAAAATTATTTGTTTCTTCCTAGCCCATCTTGTGCATTCCAAACTCAGAGTCGGATCAAACCATGCAAGTTTACCTCCATATTTCACACAGATAAATGGCAAAAGAAGACGTATTGGGTCACACAAACAGGACATGCAGCTCAACATGCGCGGGTTGGATTGCCTCCACCCATGCCAAACACCTAGCATAGCTTCCAGCATAAGATAACCCAAACTAAAATACTACCACAATCTAGTACCGGAAATCACTACACAATAGATGGTGCGTCCCCTACCCATGTGCATGACGCTCGCTGCCACCGAGTGCGGATACAATCCACGAGGGGAGCTTCACGCGAGGCACGCTGCATCAGATTCACACTCGAGTCAAACGAGTCTGCCACCACCTCGGGAGGAATATCATCCGCCCCGCTGCCCTCCGGCCTTGGTATCATCATCAGATCCTCCGGGGACCATTTGGGCGGCACGGTCACATGGAGCCGGACTAATCTCGGCCGTTGATCCATTGCAGTCAACGGCGGTGATAGCACACGCTGTGGCACATCCAAACCTCCATACGACATGTCCCCTGCTCCATTTCCCCCAGAAACTTCTGCTGCTGCTGCTGCAGTGCTGCTTCCTGTCTGCACGCGCTTTGCAATCCCATTGAAGTGATACAAGTCAAACTTCCTGCTGGCAGGTCGTCCCCCACTCGACCCCTCTCTCTTGAACCCTCCCTGGGATCGGTCCAGCTTCAGCAGAGCCTGCCACAGCTCGTTCCACACAATTACCCCCAACGCCGAAAGCGAGTCTATTGTTTCCGGAGGGAAATTTACCCTCAGCTCAGCCAGCATTGGTTGAAGTGACTCCACAGCAACAAACCCCCCTCCCCCGCTGGTATCAAAGCGGTCAAACACCTCTCTGACCCGCGACTCCTCTGCTTCCGCATCATTCTCCTCCTGTACTTCAGTCGAAAGCGCAAAGAGCACGGTGTAGTGCGATTCGCTGCCCACCACCCAGATGGGCAGCTTGGGATGTTTTAGTCGCTGCCCGACCTTGCAGAGGTTGAGGGACTCCAGGAGTGTGAGGAAGCCCACCTGGGCCTCTGAGGGAATGCCTTTAAGCGCCATGCCTCCTCCCAAGTCCATGGTACCATCAAATACGTTCGCCACTGCCTCACCACACAGCAGCAGGTTCACAATCTCCTGGAGAGGGTTCAGGCAGGGGTGTGGAGGAGAGGAGAAGCGTCAGTGATGGGGATGAGGTCGCATGACGAGAAGGCTTGAAATATCTTGTTGATAGAATCGTGGGGGCTAGGCATGAGAATGGAGAGTGAACTCAGTGTTGATCAGAGGGAGTGCGGGATGAAAGGAAGGGCTAGTGACTGAGAGATGGCACCAACCTGTGAGGCATGGCCGAACGGGCGTGTGACAAGCGGTGGCTCTGGGTCGTCCCTGTCCTCTTGAACTCGCTCCTGTGAGGGGAGACAGCCCAGAGGGTAAAAGCAGAGAAGAAGCATGAGCATATCTGAGTTTTTTGGAAGAGGGGTAGAGAAAATAGGAGGTAGAAATTTCTGAGCGAAGGTCAGCCTACTGAACCCTTGATATTACTTATGCTAATCCCCTTGACGAACAGGTACATTCACTCACAAGTCCTCTGGAGAGCAGCGCTGAGAAGAGTAGCAGCAGTGCGCCAAAGTCGCTCTCAAAGACTGGAAACAGCCGGTGAAGCGCCTTCGCCACGTCAGCATGCGACGCCCCCGCCAGGTGTCGCACTCTGACTGCTCCTTGAAGTGCTTTCGCATCGCTAATTGGGCTGGTCAGTGGTTGTTGAGAGGCTGAAGTAGCCAAAGCAGCCAGCCTGTGTGGTGATACGGCAGCAATGACAACTCTCTGCCCTCTGCTTGGCACCCATAACGACTCTGCCATTGCCAACACCAGTGCCCTGCAGCAGGGGGAATAAAGGGGGACAGAGGAGCATTCCCTTGTGTTGTCAGAGAAGTGACCGCTTGTGCTGCCAACCAAAGCTGCCAGCCTGTGTGGTGATACGGCAGCAATGACGACTCTCTGCCCTCTGCTCGGCACCCATAATGACTCTGCCATCGCCAGCACCAGCGCTCTGTAGCGGAGGTAGATAAAGAATCATTATGAGGAGGGGGAGAATGGGGAAGAAGGGGGAGGGAACGGATAAAGAGGAAGGGAAGGAGGAAGAGGAAGGTAAATGGGTTTAGAATGAAGGTACGGATGGATGGCAGCAGCACAGATTTGAGAGAATGACACGGGGAGAGGCGACACAATACATAGCTGAGGTGAAGAGCTAAATGTTTACACTTGGGAGAAACTTGACGAGCCAATCCCTCCATTGCTCAATGCGTACTGCTTACCTTCGTCTCTCAACCTGTGAGAAAATCAGAGCGGCCTCTCCTCCCTCGCCTTCTTCTCCCCCCTCCCCGTCTCCGTCCCTCACAGCTTCCAAGCCTGGCAGCGCAGCAGAGTCGCCTGAACCCTCCCCCTCTCCCTCTCCTGCCGCCACAGCAGCCATACCAGAGGCAGCACCAGGAACAATCCCAACCGCACCACCACCAGTAGCAGCACCACCTGCACCACCTGTAGCACCAGCAGAACCAGTAGCAGCAGCAGCAGAAGCAGAAGCAGCAGCTCTATGATACACTCTCCCTTGCACATCCAGGCCTGGCATCGAGTCATAAAACCTCATATCATCCTCTTCCCATCCTCCCACATCCCCCTTCCTTTCCTCCCCCGCCTTGCCCCCCTGCTGCCCAGCGCTCGCCCCCCCAGAAGCAGCACCACCAGCAGCAAGGGCGGCGGACGCGGAAGGCGGGGAGGAATCCACGGGGTGCGCGGGCATGGGGGGGAAGAGGAGGTATTTGAGCAGCAGCGCCTGCACTGGCGCCAGCACCCCGCACGGCCCCCCCTCCCGCTGCACCAGGCCTAGCGAGGTCGCCGGGTCGTCACTGAACCTGAGGCGGGAAGGGCGGAAGATATAGAGGGAGGGTGGACGAGTGAGAGGGGATAAGGAAGGCGGAGATCGAGGGACCTTGCACTTCCCCCCACGGCGCTCTCTCCCTCTGCACCAGGCCTAACGAGGTCGCCGGGTCGTCACTGAACCTGAGGCAGGAAGGGAGATAGAGTGAGCGATGCGAGAGAGGGATCGAAAGCGATTGAGAGAGGACACGGAGGGTGGATAACGAGGAGCTGAGAGGGATGATGATCACGTTAGAGAAGTAAACCGGGGCTACACTGAACTGTGATGGATGAATTACCGGAATCCCTGTCGCGACCACTGCGAGAGGGTAGCAGCAGGCGGGGACCGCCCAAACACCATGTCGAACAGCCGAAACGCATCGTCCAATGGCAACTCCGCCAACCCCTGCTCAGCCTCCCAACGAAACTCCGCCTCCCTCCACCCCTCTCCACCCACCACAACCTCCCCACCACCCGCCGTACGAGCACTCCCAGACCCCCCCATGCCAGACCCCTCAGGTATAGCCAAGTTCGATTGCGATACCCCAGCTTCCGTTGCGCTTCCCTCTGTATTTTTCCCTGCTAAACTCGCGTCTCCGGTTCCCGGAACCCTGACGTCTCCTGCCTTGCCTTCTACTGACGTTTTTTCACTGGTCTGATCCGCCATGTCAACATCGTGGACACGTGGCGGAATGGGAGTCGCTGCAGCAGAAACGCTCGAACCCTTATCTACACGTGGATCGGCCCTGATAGAAGTGCTCTGAGGACGGCTCGAGGCGGGAACAGCTGGAGCTCCCGAGGAGGCGACGGCTGATCCGATATTAGCTGATCCGATTTTAGTCGATTCTGCACTGGGCTTTCCTAAAGCAGCCATTCTTCGTTCCGCGGCTGCTGCTCGAATCTCCCGCTGTATCCGCCTCTCTCGCTCCTCCGCCGTCTCGGGTCTCGTTGCCACGCGACCGCTATAAGAACCCCCGCTATAGCCACCACCACCTCCTCCCAGATCCGATCCTTCGTCCTCGGATTTGCTGCGTTTGGCGGATGGGGGACAAGGGTCAGGACTGGTATTCATTCCGCCGACGGACTGGGTATTCATACCGCTGCTGCTGGTCTGAGGGTTTCGCGGAGAGCCGTCTGCTGGAGGAGGGCTCGTTAAGCTCATGCGAAAGGCCCTTTGCAGCTGCTCATCCTCGTCTTCGGCCATGTCTACCAGCCTAGGAAACGATCGAGAACAGACCGATCCGTGAACTGACAGACTCGGTGCGACCAAACGCCAGCGAAAATAGACAAGAGGAGACGAGAATGTGAAAACTTCGAAAAAGCGTGAGCACGGAAATGGGAACTTGGGGAAAAAAGAACTCCTTGGAAACTTCGTTGGATGTGTCAAATACAGTTACGCTGAAAACCAACAGACACTAACGTTGCATGTCTATATCTGTTACGGGTGCAATGAATCTAGGTGGCGAGGATTTATACGAGTACAAAATGTGAGCGAAGGCATGAGCGAACATTTATACGCAAAACATGCAAACGGTAACGCGGTGTGTGCGAGCTAGCTAGTGCTAGGCTGGCATCGAGGCTCGGGCTAGTCCCGAAGCGTAGGCCTGTCAGAACCATATTGTAGGCTGTAGTGGGGTTGACAATATGGGGTACAACTCTTTTAGGTTTTCATATTTGTACCCACCTGGTTCCTAGTTGATTCATTCCCTCGTTCATTCTTCACATGGTATAGAGCGGGTTCCCTAGTGGGACCGTTTTTTTTTTAAGGGCCCACCACTTAATATTTTTTTTTTCCCTGCCCGAAGCGAGATCCCTGCCCTGTCGAGCGCCTCGCGCCTGCCTTACCTGCGCCCCGTGCGCCTGCCTCCCTTGCGCCCCGTGCGCCTACCCTGCCGTCGCGGCCCTGTCTAGAGCCGTCGCGGCCCTGCAGTCGCGGCCCCTGGCCGTCGCGCCCCCTGACGTCGCGGCCCCTGCCGTCGCGGCCCCTGGCTGTCGCGGCCCCTGCCATCGCGGCCCCTGGCCGTCGTGCCCCCTGCCGTCGCCGCCCCTGGTCGTCGCCGCCCCTGCCGTCGCGGCCCCTGCCGTCGCGGCCCCTGGCCGTCGCGCCCCCTGCCGTCGTGGCCCCTGCTGTCGCGACCCTGCCGTCGAGGCCCCTGCCGTCGCGGCCTCTGCCGTCGCGCCCCCCCCTACAGTCGCGGCCCCTGCTGTCGCGGCCCTGTCAGAGCCCGTCGCGCCCCTGCCGCCCTGCTGTCGCGGCCCTTCCTACTGTCGCCGTCGCTGCGGCCCTGACCTGCCGGCGCGCCTCGGCCCTGCCCTTCCAGCCGCGGCCCTACCCCGATCCCGCCCTGGTAAGCGCACCGCTGCACCCGCGCCGCCCTACCGAGCCGCACTGCCCTGCCGAGCCGCGCCGCCCTGCCGAGCCGCACCGCTCTGCCGAGTCGCGCTGCTCCTGCTACTGCTGCTACTGCTACTGCTACTGCTACTGCTATTGCTACTGCTACTGCTACTGCTACTGCTGTCATGGCTACCCCTCATGTACTTTCCTTCGATGCTGAGGGTCGGGCAATTGATTTCGAGGTCTGGGTCGATGATCTGCAGCTGTTTCGCAGTGCGATAGCAAGGACGGAGTCTCGCCTTTTAACCTTACGTCTGGCGCCTCTGCTGCACCTACTGCTGATGCTGACAGTACTGTTCGCTCACAGTGGACCACGCGCGATGCTGCTGCTCGTCTTGCTATTCGTAGTCACCTGCCGTCTGCTGAGCGCGCGCACTTTAGCCAGTACAAGACCGCTAGGACTCTGTACGACGCTGTTGTTACGCGCTACTTCTCCCCTGCCACTGCTGCCCTTAGCCGCCTCATGCTGCCGTACCTGTTCCCTGACCTAGCCGCCTTTGCCACAGTCGCTGACCTCATTACGCACCTCCGCACTAGTGACACCCGCTATCGCGCTGCGCTTCCTGCCGAGAACCCCCCCCTATGTACATCACTCTCTACTACCTCGTCACCTGGCTCCCTGACTCCCTTCGCTCGGTCAGGGACCACTTCCTCTCCCTTTGCCCCACCACGCTCACCGTTGACCTCCTCGAGGAGCGCCTCCTAGCAGCTGAGAAGAGTATAGTCGCTGTAGAAGCCTCTCGTGGTGACCCTCGTGCCCCCTTCTTTGAGGGGTGTTCCCCCGTTCCCCTTTTGCCTTCTGTTACCTCTGCTGCTGCTGTCGACCTCGTTGGCACCGAGTCGGTCGGCGCTGCGTCTGCTCCTAGTGGGAGGCGCCGCAGCGGCAGGAGCAAGGGGGGCAAGGGTACTGGAGGAGACGGCGGGGGCGGCGGTGGTGGAGGTGGAGGCGGCGGAGGGGGTGGGGGTGGAGGTGGGGGTGGTGGCGGGAGAGGGGGCTTCGGTGGTGGCAGTGGAGGTGGTGTCAGAATCCCAACCACTAGACTATTGGGATAAAAGGGCTTGTTTGTGTAGCGGGTAAGTGCGCCCATAACCCCCCAGGCCAGCGTGCTTGTAACCCTTCCCTAGGATCAATCAGGGATCACCAGTGGACCTCTGACACCCCCCCGCACTGGGATGCCCGAAGTGCACACAACGGGATTCGAACCCAAGACCTTCGCTCTGATACCATGTCAGAATCCCAACCACTAGACCATTGGGATAAAAGGGCTTGTTTGTGTAGCGGGTAAGTGCGCCCATAACCCCCCAGGCCAGCGTGCCTGTAACCCTTCCCTCGGATCAATCGGGGATCACCAGTGGACCTCTGACAGGTGGAGGTGGCGGCGGCGGCGGCGGCGGTGGGGGTGGCGGCGGCAGTGGTGCTGGTCGGGGTGGCGCTGTGCAGCCGGGAGGCTTTGGCGATGGGCAGCGCCAGCAGCAGCAGCGCCCTCGTGAGACCCTGTCGCCCCAGCAGCTTCGTGAGTGGTACGCTGGGCGTGGGAGGTCTTGGGGTGCTGGTCCCTGCGCCTACGTTCTCCGCACCGGCGACCGCAGTGGGGAGACGTGTGGAGGACCGCACGCCACACTGCGCTGCTTTGGCCGCCTGACTGACGCTTGGCGTACTCAGTTTCCCGACTCCACTGAGATCCCTCGCTGGGGTGATCTGCTTAAGTCGGGGGTTGCTATTTTTGATCTTGATTATGATGCTATCCTTGCTGCTATGTATGCTGTGTCTATTAGTGCTGAGGGTGACTGTTACCTGTGTGTTCCGCCTGACCCGGGCATTGAGGCTGCTGCTCTAGGTGCTAGTGAGTCTGTTGCTCCAGGTGCTGGTGAGTCTGCTGCCCCAGGTACTGGTGAGTCTGCTCTCTCAGGTACCGCGTCGGCTCAGACCTTACACACCTTCACCCTTGACTCGGGTGCTTCCCGCTCCTTCTTTCGCGACTGCACCACACTCTCGCCGCTCAGTCGGCCAGTGGCAGTCTCTCTGGCTGACCCCTCTATGGGTCCGATCCTTGCACACTCCTCCACGGTCCTGCGGTGTCCGGCGGTCCCGTCTGGCTCTCTGTCTGGCCTCCACCTCCCCTCGTTCTCCACGAACTTGGTGAGTGGAGCTGACCTTCAGGACGCATGGGTTGACCAGTTCACTCCTGGAGGTCAGCGGGTGACCCACTGTTCGTGTACTCGGACGGGCCGTCACCTGGCCACGTTCACCCGTCAGCCTGGGTCGAGCCTGTACACCCTGACTACCGTGACTCCTCCGGTTGCTGAGTCTGGTCAGGTCGCTCTGTCGGGTCAGGTTTTTGCTGCAGCGTCCCGGTCTGGTCCTGAGTCTGCCCCCTGCTCGTGTCGCCTCCTGTCTCACCAGACTCTCCTCTGGCACCACCGCCTTGGTCACCCCTCCCTGCCTCGTCTCCGAGGCATGGCCTCCCGTGTCCTTGTCACTGGTCATCCCCGGTCTCTCCCTCCCCTCCCCCCGGGGCCTGCCCCTACCTACGATCCTTGCGTCGAGGGGCGGCAGCGCGCCGCCCCTCACTCCTCCGAGTTTCCTCCCATGGAGGCTCCCCTGCAGACTCTTGACATGGACGTGTGGAGCCCCACCCGCGTCCGTGGACAGGGTCACGAGCGCTACTTTCTGCTGGTCGTTGACGACTACTCGCGTTACACCACAGTCTTCCCCTTGCGCCGCAAGGGTGAGGTAACTGAGGTGCTGATCGACTGGATCCGCGCTGCCCGTCGTCAGCTCAGCGAGAGTTTCGGCTCGGACCTTCCTGTTCTGCGTCTGCACTCCGACAGAGGTGGAGAGTTTTCCCCCGACCTTCTGCAGGCCTTCTGTCGTGCGGAGGTCATCCGCCAGACGTTCACGCTTCCGACCTCTCCACGGCAAAATGGGATTGCTGAGCGCCGCATTGGCATGGTCATGGACGTCGCTCGTACGTCCATGATCCATGCGGCTGCTCCCCATTTTCTGTGGCCGTTCGCGGTTCAGTACGCGGCGCATCAGATCAACCTCCAGCCCCGGGTCTCCGTGCCGATGACCACACCTACTCTGCGGTGGACGGGGAAGGTTGGCG